TGCTCTAGGTCTGTTGCTCTAGGTCTGTTGCTCTAGGTCTAGGTCTGTTGCTCTAAGGTCTAGGTCTGTTGCTCTAGGTCTGTTGCTCTAGGTCTAGGTCTGTTGCTCTAGGTCTGTTGCTCTAGGTCTAGGTATGTTGCTCTAGGTCTGTTGCTCTAGGTCTAGGTCTGTTGCTCTAGGTCTGTTGCTCTAGGTCTAGGTCTCTAGGTCTAGGTCTGTTGCTCTAGGTCTGTTGCTCTAGGTCTGTTGCTCTAGGTCTGTTGCTCTAGGTCTGTTGCTCTAGGTCTAGGTCTGTTGCTCTAGGCCTGTGCCTCTAGGTCTGTTGCTCTAGGTCTGTTGCTCTAGGTCTGTTGCTCTAAGCCTGTTGCTCTAGGTCTGTTGCTCTAGGTCTGTTGCTCTAAGCCTGTTGGTCTAGGTCTGTTGCTCTAGGTCTAGGTCTGTTGCTCTAAGCCTGTTGCTCTAGGTCTGTTGCTCTAGGTCTAGGTCTGTTGCTCTAGGTCTAGGTCTGTTGCTCTAGGTCTGGGATTTCTGAGACTACTATAAATACAACCTACAACACATTCTTGCCTCCTAGCTACTAGCCACCCATGAATAGGCGACTTTCTGTCCCTAACACTAAAACTGAAATAGAAATAGAAATGTTTTTATAAAACTAAAACTGAATAAAAACGAACTAAATCAAGTTTTTTTTTTAAACTAATAAAAATAAAACCACTAAACTATAATAACCTTGAAGCACACACTGCAGCTCAGTGACCATGATTGTGTGGAGTCCTTGAAGTCCCGAGTGATTCATTGGGCTTACAGGGGGCCTAATGGAGCAAAGCACACACTGCAGTACGCACACACACCACCAGGGTGACACCGGGAGTAGGACAAGACTTTAACCCCCTCTGCCCCCTTTCCTCGGAGCGGCCTTCACAGTGATGCACACTGGGTAGTGGTCGCTCACCGCCAGGGCCTGAAACAGAGAAACACACACCATCAGAGGCTTTATCACTGATACTGTTTAGAGTCTTTATCACTGATACTGTTTAGAGTCTTTATCACTGATACTGTTTAGAGTCTTTATCACTGATACTGTTTAGAGTCTTTATCACTGATACTGTTTAGAGTCTTTATCACTGATACTGTTTAGAGTCTTTAACACTGATACTGTTTAGAGTCTTTATCACTGATACTGTTTAGAGTCTTTAACACTGATACTGTTTAGAGTCTTTATCACTGATACTGTTTAGAGTCTTTAACACTGATACTGTTTAGAGGCTTTATCACTGATACTGTTTAGAGTCTTTATCACTGATACTGTTTAGAGTCTTTAACACTGATACTGTTTAGAGTCTTTATCACTGATACTGTTTAGAGTCTTTATCACTGATACTGTTTAGAGTCTTTATCACTGATACTGTTTAGAGGCTTTATCACTGATACTGTTTAGAGTCTTTATCACTGATACTGTTTAGAGTCTTTATCACTGATACCGTTTAGAGTCTTTAACACTGATACTGTTTAGAGTCTTTATCACGGATACTGTTTAGAGTCTTTATCACTGATACTGTTTAGAGTCTTTAACACTGATACTGTTTAGAGTCTTTATCACTGATACTGTTTAGAGTCTTTATCACTGATACTGTTTTAGAGTCTTTATCACGGATACTGTTTAGAGTCTTTATCACTGATACTGTTTAGAGTCTTTATCACTGATACTGTTTAGAGTCTTTAACACTGATACTGTTTAGAGTCTTTATCACTGATACTGTTTAGAGTCTTTATCACTGATACTGTTTAGAGTCTTTATCACGGATACTGTTTAGAGTCTTTATCACTGATACTGTTTAGAGTCTTTATCACGGATACTGTTTAGAGTCTTTATCACTGATACTGTTTAGAGTCTTTATCACTGATACCGTTTAGAGGCTTTATCACTGATACTGTTTAGAGTCTTTATCACTGATACTGTTTAGAGTCTTTAACACTGATACTGTTTAGAGTCTTTATCACTGATACTGTTTAGAGTCTTTAACACTGATACTGTTTAGAGTCTTTATCACTGATACTGTTTAGAGTCTTTAACACTGATACTGTTTAGAGGCTTTATCACTGATACTGTTTAGAGTCTTTATCACTGATACTGTTTAGAGTCTTTAACACTGATACTGTTTAGAGTCTTTATCACTGATACTGTTTAGAGTCTTTATCACTGATACTGTTTAGAGTCTTTATCACTGATACTGTTTAGAGGCTTTATCACTGATACTGTTTAGAGTCTTTATCACTGATACTGTTTAGAGTCTTTATCACTGATACCGTTTAGAGTCTTTAACACTGATACTGTTTAGAGTCTTTATCACGGATACTGTTTAGAGTCTTTATCACTGATACTGTTTAGAGTCTTTAACACTGATACTGTTTAGAGTCTTTATCACTGATACTGTTTAGAGTCTTTATCACTGATACTGTTTAGAGTCTTTATCACGGATACTGTTTAGAGTCTTTATCACTGATACTGTTTAGAGTCTTTATCACTGATACTGTTTAGAGTCTTTAACACTGATACTGTTTAGAGTCTTTATCACTGATACTGTTTAGAGTCTTTATCACTGATACTGTTTAGAGTCTTTATCACGGATACTGTTTAGAGTCTTTATCACTGATACTGTTTAGAGTCTTTATCACGGATACTGTTTAGAGTCTTTATCACTGATACTGTTTAGAGTCTTTATCACTGATACCGTTTAGAGGCTTTATCACTGATACTGTTTAGAGTCTTTATCACTGATACTGTTTAGAGTCTTTATCACTGATACTGTTTAGAGTCTTTAACACTGATACTGTTTAGAGTCTTTAACACTGATACTGTTTAGAGTCTTTAACACTGATTCTGTTTAGAGTCTTTAACACTGTTACTGTTTAGAGTCTTTATCACTGATACTGTTTAGAGTCTTTAACACTGATACTGTTTAGAGTCTTTAACACTGATACTGTTTAGAGTCTTTAACACTGATACTGTTTAGAGTCTTTATCACTGATACTGTTTAGAGTCTTTATCACTGATACTGTTTAGAGTCTTTATCACTGATACTGTTTAGAGTCTTTATCACGGATACTGTTTAGAGTCTTTATCACTGATACTGTTTAGAGTCTTTATCACTGATACTGTTTAGAGTCTTTAACACTGATACTGTTTAGAGTCTTTATCACTGATACTGTTTAGAGTCTTTATCACTGATACTGTTTAGAGTCTTTATCACGGATACTGTTTAGAGTCTTTATCACTGATACTGTTTAGAGTCTTTATCACGGATACTGTTTAGAGTCTTTATCACTGATACTGTTTAGAGTCTTTATCACTGATACCGTTTAGAGGCTTTATCACTGATACTGTTTAGAGTCTTTATCACTGATACTGTTTAGAGTCTTTATCACTGATACTGTTTAGAGTCTTTAACACTGATACTGTTTAGAGTCTTTAACACTGATACTGTTTAGAGTCTTTAACACTGATACTGTTTAGAGTCTTTAACACTGTTACTGTTTAGAGTCTTTATCACTGATACTGTTTAGAGTCTTTAACACTGATACTGTTTAGAGTCTTTAACACTGATACTGTTTAGAGTCTTTAACACTGATACTATTTAGAGTCTTTATCACTGATACTGTTTAGAGTCTTTATCACTGATACTGTTTAGAGTCTTTAACACTGATACTGTTTAGAGTCTTTATCACTGATACTGTTTAGAGTCTTTATCACTGATACTGTTTTAGAGTCTTTAACACTGATACTGTTTTAGAGTCTTTATCACTGATACTGTTTAGAGCCTTTATCACTGATACTGTTTTAGAGTCTTTATCACTGATACTGTTTAGAGGCTTTATCACTGATACTGTTTAGAGGCTTTATCACTGATACTGTTTAGAGTCTTTAACACTGATACTGTTTAGAGTCTTTAACACTGATACTGTTTAGAGTCTTTAACACTGATACTGTTTAGAGTCTTTAACACTGTTACTGTTTAGAGTCTTTATCACTGATACTGTTTAGAGTCTTTAACACTGATACTGTTTAGAGTCTTTAACACTGATACTGTTTAGAGTCTTTAACACTGATACTGTTTAGAGTCTTTAACACTGATACTGTTTAGAGTCTTTATCACTGATACTGTTTAGAGTCTTTATCACTGATACTGTTTAGAGTCTTTAACACTGATACTGTTTAGAGTCTTTAACACTGATACTGTTTAGAGTCTTTATCACTGATACTGTTTAGAGTCTTTATCACTGATACTGTTTAGAGTCTTTAACACTGATACTGTTTAGAGTCTTTAACACTGATACTGTTTAGAGGCTTTATCACTGATACTGTTTAGAGTCTTTATCACTGATACCGTTTAGAGTCTTTATCACTGATACTGTTTAGAGTCTTTATCACTGATACCCATTAGAGGCTTTATCACTGATACTGTTTAGAGTCTTTATCACTGATACTGTTTAGAGGCTTTATCACTGATACTGTTTAGAGTCTTTATCACTGATACTGTTTAGAGGCTTTATCACTGATACTGTTTAGAGTCTTTATCACTGATACTGTTTAGAGTCTTTAACACTGATACTGTTTAGAGGCTTTATCACTGATACTGTTTAGAGTCTTTATCACTGATACCGTTTAGAGTCTTTAACACTGATACTGTTTAGAGTCTTTAACACTGATACTGTTTAGAGTCTTTATCACTGATACTGTTTAGAGTCTTTAACACTGATACTGTTTAGAGTCTTTATCACTGAAACTGTTTAGAGTCTTTAACACTGATACTGTTTAGAGTCTTTATCACTGATACTGTTTAGAGTCTTTAACACTGATACTGTTTAGAGTCTTTATCACTGATACTGTTTAGAGTCTTTATCACGGATACTGTTTAGAGTCTTTATCACTGATACTGTTTAGAGTCTTTAACACTGATACTGTTTAGAGTCTTTAACACTGATACTGTTTAGTCTTTATGCTATACCTGTAGCTCGGTGAGTCCAAAGGCCAGTCTGAAGTTGAACACATCCAGAGAGGTTGGGTTGACTGCCTGAATCATGTTGTCCCCGTGGAGGACAACCCTATGACAGACAGAGGAACAAGGAGGGGTCAGACAGAAGCAGAAGAACCATACAGCAGAAAGATAAATCCTAAAGTTGACATTCTGGCTGATGAACAGTTACTTTGACATTCAGCACCTGCTCAATTTACTGAACGGGTTGGATCCTAGGTCACATCACAAGACTGTTTTAACCTGCTGAGCTAAAGCTTAACCACGTTTGTTACACTCAAGGGAAGCCATAGGATGTGCACATGATTGTACGAGCCCTGATGCATGTTTCTATGGCGATGCCCTCTGACCCCCTGACCTGTCATAGGCACAGTCTGTGGACTCCTTCACGGTGGTGTCAATGGTGTCGCCCGTCAGCCACAGGAAGCTGCTGTCGGACCGCAGGCGGATGCTGCTCCACTGCTTCTTGGGTACGTAGCCGCAGTCCGCATTGAAGTCCCCCATGATGATCACATTCTAAAGAAAGGAGATGTGAGATTGAGCATGGAAACTACCACAGGTGTGCAAAGTACAGTGGACCAAAAATTTTTTATGCTCAACTGAGATTTTTTTCCTCCAGAATAATCTGTCTTAATCTTGTACCGATTACAGTTTACACAGAAAATGGGTTTTGTAAGGTTCCATTTTAGGGCCTTTTTTATTCACCATTTATAGAAATGATATCTGCCAAGACCCATAGTGTTACAAATATCCCATTGTTACAAATATCCCATTGTTACAAATATCTCACTGTTACAAATATCCCATTGTTACAAATATCCCATTGTTACAAATATCCCACTGTTACAAATATCCCACTGTTACAAATATCCCATTGTTACAAATATCCCACTGTTACAAATATCCCACTGTTACAAATATCCCATTGTTACAAATATCCCATTGTTACAAATATCTCACTGTTACAAATATCCCATTGTTACAAATATCCCACTGTTACAAATATCCCACTGTTACAAATATCCCATTGTTACAAATATCCCATTGTTACAAATATCCACTGTTACAAATATCCCATTGTTACAAATATCCCACTGTTACAAATATCCCACTGTTACAAATATCCCACTGTTACAAATATCCCATGTTACAAAATATCCCATTGTTACAAATATCCCATTGTTACAATATCTCAACTGTTACCAAATATCCCATTGTTACAATATCCCACTGTTACAAATATCCCCACTGTTACAAATATCCCATTGTTACAAATATCCCACTGTTGACAAATATCCCACTGTTACAAATATCCCATTGTTACAAATATCCCATTGTTACAAATATCCCACTGTTACAAATATCCCACACAATGGAGCCCTACTGTTGGTGGGGGCTGTTGTGGTTTACCAGTGGAGTTATTAGAGCTTGTAACTATCGCTGGGAGATACTGTATGCTGTTGTTAACTTTACCTCTGCACGTTTTGTACCGGGGTGAAAACAGAAATGATACAACGACTGATAAACCACTAGGAAATGAAACAACGACTGATAAACCACTAGGAAATGATACAACTACTGATAAACCACTAGGAAATGGGGGCATGTAGAGGAAATAGGTCAAACTAATCCGAACCGTGTGTGTATGTGTGCGTGTGTGTATGTGTGCGTGCGTGTGCGTGCGTGTGTGTGTGCGTGTGTGTGTGTGTGTGTGCGTGTGTGTGCGTGCGTGTGCGTGTATGTGTGTGTGTACTCTACCTCTGAGGTCCATCGCTGTTTGACATCTTGGAACACATCATACAGCTCATTGATCTCCCTGACGGACGTATCTGGAGTGGTGTGGATCGGGATGATCACAAAGTCCTGGACGGCTGCAGGGAAAGACGGACACTTGTTGTCGCAATCAACTTTTACAGCTGTGATACAGTGTGCCAGTTTGACCTACTGCCTTCTGTCTTCTAAAAGTGTATGAATGTGAAATGCAACTTGCCAATTCGATATTTCTTCTGTGTTGAAACTGTGAGCAAGAATTGTAATTGAAGTGTAGTGCTGTAGTATTTGTATTTGTATTTATTATGGATCCCCATTAGTTCCTGCCAAGGCAGCAGCTACTCTTCCTGGGGTCCAGCAAAATTAAGGCAGTTATAAATTTTTTAAAACATTACAATACATTCACAACAGATTTCACAACATACTAAGTGTGTGCCCTCAGGCCCCTACTCCACTACCACATATCTAAAACACATAATCCATGTGTACGTGTGCGTATGTTATTGTGCGTTTGTATACATGTGTCTGTGCCCAGTGGTGGAAAAAGTACCCAATTGTCATACTTGAGTAAAAGTAAAGATACCTCAATAGAAAATGACTCAAGTAAAAGTGAAAGTCACCCAGTAAAATACTACTTGAGTAAAAGTCTAAAAGTATTTGGTTTTAAATATACTTAAGTATCAAGAGTAAATGTAATAGCTAAAATATACTTAAGTATTGAAAGTAAAAGTAAAGTATAAATCATTTCAAATTCCCTATATTAAGCAAACCAGACGGCACCATTTTCTTGCTTTTTTTTATTTACTTACGGATAACCAGGGACACACTGCAACACTCAGACATAAATTACAAACAAAGCATTTGTGTTTAGTGAGTCCGCCAGATCAGAGGCAGTAGGGATGACCAGGGATGTTCTCTCGATAAGTACGTGATTTTGACCATTTTCCTGTCCTGCTAAGCATTCAAAATGTAACGAGTACTTTTGGGTGTCTGGGAAAAATGTATGGAGTAAAAAGTACATTATTTTCTTTAGGAATGTTGTGAAGTAAAAGTAGTCCAAATATAAATAGTAAAGTAAAGTACAGATACCACAAAAAACTACTTAAGTAGTACTTTAAAGTATTTGTACCACTATGTTTGTGTTGCAGTGAAGTGTCCTGCCCTATAAAATCTCGTCTAACGGTAATACTGTATTGGTTAGTTTAGCCAGACAGTCACCTGTTTTGGGGGAAGAGAACCAGACGATGAAGGGTTCCCTGGAGAATGCGTCCTCATCTCCAGGCTGGATGTCAGGATACTGGTACACTTCCTTTACTGACACCAGCCTCTGTCTGAGAACCGCAGAGGACCATGGAGGAGCAGGAAAGACAACATATCATCACAGTTCCTTTAGTATTAGTTCACTGCTTTGCTTATTGTCTGTGACTATTCTTCAGGCCCATACATGCACACCTACAGGCAGTAAATTACTGTAAAATAAAGTACAGTATGTTAACGTAAATTCCAAATAAACTTTGGTTTAACAGTACATTGCTGTAAAGTTTACCAAAGTTTATTTGGAATTTACGGTAACACACTGTAAGCATTTTTTTGTTTGTTTTACAGTAAAAAACAGGCTACTGTAAAAACTAAAATATATTTTTTTACAGTGTGTTTATAATAGGTCTAAAAGAAACATATCATAGAGGAAGAACTGATACATGTTACATGTGTTGAGTTGCTTATAGCTGATGATACACTGACAATGTTTTGAGCCAATGTTACCAACATTACCACTATTACTACCACTACTACTACTACTACTACTACTACTACTACTACTAACTACCACTACTACTACTATACTACTACTACTACTACTACTACACTACTACTACTACACTACAACTACTACTACACAACTACAAGGCTGAACGAAAAATAAAAAAAGCTACAACTATACATACTACAACAATACTACCACTACATAACTACTACCACTACTAACATACTAAACACTAACTACTACTACTAACTACTAACTACACTAACACTACTACTACTACACTACACTACTATAACACTAATACGACTACTACGACTACTACTACACTAACTACTACACTACTACTATTACACTACACTACTACTACACCACACTACTACTCTACCACTACTAACTACGACTTACTACCACTACTACTACCTACCACTACATACTACACCTACTACCGTACTACTACTCCTACGACCCTACATACTACCACTCACTACGCACACTCCCTACTACTAGTCTACCACCCCTACGTACAACACAGACTACGACGACCACTACTACTACACACTACCACTACTACTACTACCACTAATACTACTACTACAACACACTACCCACACTACTACTACGACTAACTACACTAACTACACTACCAACTACACTACTACGACTACTACTACTACACACAACTACCAATAAGACTACTACTACCATGACGGACCACTACTACTATACTACTGCCACTACTACTACTACTACTACTACTACCATACTACAACTACAACTACCACTCTACTACTACACTACACTACCACTACTACTACCACTACTACTACTACTACTACGACCACTACACTACTACCACACTACTACTACTACTACTACCAATACTACTACTACTACCACTACACGACTACTACTACTACTACTCACTACCACTACTACTAGTACTACTACCACTACTACTACCCCCACTACCACTACTTACTACCACTACTACTACTACTACTACCACATATACTACTACTACGACCACTACTACTATACTACTACTACTTACCCACTACACTACTACACACACCACTACTACGTACCACTACTACTACTGACTACTACCACTATCGCTACCACTACTACTACTCTACTACTACTACTACTACTACAACCCTACTACTACTCTACTACTACACACCACTATCCTCCCCACTACAAACTATTACTCTCCCTACTCTACTAACACCCCCTACTACTACTACTACTAATACTACTCCCCACTACTACCACCCTTCTACTACTCTACTCCCTACTACTACCCCACTATCCGCTACCCCACACTCCTCCTACTACTCACTTGCCTACTACTAATACTGCTACTGCTACTACTACCACTACTACTACCACTTCAACTTCTTTAATTACCATGAAAAACACTTAAAGAGGAGCAAGTACAGCACATTTTTTGTAACTAAAGTTTTAAATTAGATTGACCATTTAACAAATATTGAAATGTAATCATTTCCCCTTACACAATTCACAAACAGTCATGTGACTTTGTTGGTGATTATTCCCTGGTTACCATAGCAACATTTGATCATGCTGGTTAGCATTTTGGAACTACAACAATATTTAAATGAGCTCCCCATGCATTTCAATGACAAAAAAAGGTGCATAGACTTGAATGGTAATAAAATAAAATAATTCTAGACCTACAGCAAAGATTCTTATAACTAAACCAAGATAGACCACAGCTTGTCGTTTCCAATGTGAACAACCTGTAGATAAAGGGTACTACTCCTAGTAAGACTTACCTGTAGATAAAGGGTACTACTCCTAGTAAGACTTACCTGTAGATAAAGGCATACTGCTCCTTGTAAGACTTACCTGTCGATAAAGGGTACTACTCCTAGTAAGACTTACCTGTAGATAAAGGGTACTACTCCTAGTAAGACTTACCTGTAGATAAAGGGTACTACTCCTAGTAAGACTTACCTGTAGATAAAGGGTACTACTCCTAGTAAGACTTACCTGTAGATAAAGGGTACTACTCCTAGTAAGACTTACCTGTAGATAAAGGGTACTACTCCTAGTAAGACTTACCTGTAGATAAAGGGTACTACTCCTAGTAAGACTTACCTGTAGATAAAGGCATACTGCTCCTTGTAAGACTTACCTGTAGATAAAGGGTACTACTCCTAGTAAGACTTACCTGTAGATAAAGGGTACTACTCCTAGTAAGACTTACCTGTAGATAAAGGGTACTACTCCTAGTAAGACTTACCTGTAGATAAAGGGTACTACTCCTTGTAAGACTTACCTGTAGATAAAGGGTACTACTCCTAGTAAGACTTACCTGTAGATAAAGGGTACTACTCCTAGTAAGACTTACCTGTAGATAAAGGGTACTACTCCTAGTAAGACTTACCTGTAGATAAAGGGTACTACTCCTAGTAAGACTTACCTGTAGATAAAGGGTACTACTCCTAGTAAGACTTACCTGTAGATAAAGGCATACTGCTCCTTGTAAGACTTACCTGTAGATAAAGGGTACTACTCCTAGTAAGACTTACCTGTAGATAAAGGGTACTACTCCTAGTAAGACTTACCTGTAGATAAAGGGTACTACTCCTAGTAAGACTTACCTGTAGATAAAGGGTACTACTCCTAGTAAGACTTACCTGTAGATAAAGGGTACTACTCCTAGTAAGACTTACCTGTAGATAAAGGGTACTACTCCTAGTAAGACTTACCTGTAGATAAAGGGTACTACTCCTAGTAAGACTTACCTGTAGATAAAGGGTACTACTCCTAGTAAGACTTACCTGTAGATAAAGGCATACTGCTCCTTGTAAGACTTACGTCCCAGTCTGTCACTGATCACATAGTTATACTCATTCTTCCTGGAGCTGTAGTCACTGTGGAGAACAGAGGGGGGGGGGGGGGGGGGGGGGGGGGGGGGGGGGGGGGATGGATGGATGGATGGATGGATGGATGGATGGATGGATGGATGGATGGATGGATGGATGGATGGATGGATGGATGGATGGATGGATGGATTGGATGGATGGATGGATGGATGGATGGATGGATGGATGGATGGATGGATGGATGGATGGATGGATGCATGGATGGATGGATGCATGGATGGATGGATGGATGGATGCATGGATGCATGGATGGATGGATGGATGGATGGATGGATGGATGGATGGATGGATGGATGGATGGATGGATGGATGGATGCATGGGTAAATAGATGGGTAAATGGGTGAATTAATGCATTAATGAACCAATGAATGAACCATTTATTTTAATTATTTTAATGAATGAATGCATGAATGAATGAACAGATTCATGTACTTTATTGACAGTGTTGAGGAGTAGTGAACTACCTGTAAATCTAGGTAGTGTTTTCAGTAGTTAATTACCTTTCTGTCATGTAGTGCTGTAGCTAACTACACACAACTTTTGTTTGCCAAAATAAAATATGGGTGAAGTAAGGCAAGAATTTCCTTTCTTTTTCAGAATCAGACCTGCCTTATTCTCACTTGAAACACTTTCTGTGTGCCTAATTCTCACTTTGTGTTTAATAGGATAATTTACACATTCTGTTAACATCTGATTCCAGAGTTTTCTGTTCTTGCAATTTGTAGTCTATTACATTTTAGATTTAGATAAGATAATTTTTCACAAAGTAGTTTGGATGTAGTGAAACTACTTCTTCAGAGTAACTTCAGTTAAGTAAACTATATTTTTCTTAAGGGTAGCTTAAATTCTTCCAGTGTAAAGTAATTGGTAGTTTGGTAAACTATATTTTCAGAGGAGCTTCCCCCAACACTTTATTTTGACACCCAGACTAACACACACCAGTGGTATTGTCTTTCAGGCCTTGGCCATCACACCAGCCATTGCTATTTGAACTGTGTCTTTCAGGCCTACGTCATCCCTACCTGTTGAGTTGAGCCATCAGCTGTGGGAAAGCCTTCCCACTGAGATCTTTGATCTCCATCACCAGCATGATGTCACAGCGAGCGATCAGCTGCGATATAGAGACAGCTTTTAGTGCACTGGATAGAGATACTGGGAAACCTCAACTCAACATCATGCACAGTACCAGTCAAAAGTTTGGACACACCTACTCATTCAAGGGTCTTTATTTTGTACTATTTTCTACATTGTAGAATAATAGTGAAGACATCAAAACTATGAAATAACACGTATGGAATCATGTAGTAACCAACAAAGTGTTAAACAAATCAAAATATATTTTATATTTGAGATTCTAAAAAGTAGCCACCCTTTGCCTTGACAGCTTTGCACACTCTTGGCATTCTCTCAACCAGCTTCACCTGGAATGCTTTTCCAACAGTCTTGAAGGAGTTCCCACATATGCTGAGCACTTGTTGGCTGCTTTTGCTTCACTCTGCGGTCCAACTCATCCCAAACCATCTCAATTGGGTTGAGGTCGGGTGATTGTGGAGGCCAGGTCATCTGATGCAGCACTCCATCACTCTCCTTCTTGGTAAAATAGCCCTTACACAGCCTGGAGGTGTGTTGGGTCATTGTCCAGTTGAAAAACAAATTATAGTCCCACTAAGCCCAAACCAGATGGAATGGCGTATCGCTGCAGAATGCTGTGGTAGCCATGCTGGTTAAGTGTGCCTTTAATTCTAAATAAATCACAGACAGTGTCACCAGCAAAGCACCCCCACACCATCACACCACCTCCTCCATGCTTCACGGTGGGAACCACACATGCGGAGATCATCCGTTCACCTACTCTGCGTCTCACAAAGACACGGCAGTTGGAACCAAAAATCTCAAATTTGGACTCATCAAACCAAAGGACACATTTCCACTGACCTAATGTCCATTGCTTGTGTTTCTTGGCCCAAGCAAGTCTCTTATTCTTGTTGGTGTCCTTTAGTAGTGGTTTCTTTGCAGCAATTCAACCATGAAGTCCTGATTCACACAGTCCCCTCTGAACAGTTGATGTTGAGATGTGTCTGTTACTTGAACTCTGTGAAGCATTTATTTGGGCTGCAATCTGAGGTGCAGTTAAATCAAATGAATTGATCCTCTGCAGCAGAGCTAACTCTGGGTCTTCCTTTCCTGTGGCGGTCCTCATGAGAGCCAGTTTCATCATAGCGCTTCATGGTTTATATTCTTGAAATGTTTCGTATTGACTGACCTTCGTGTCTTAAAGTAACGATGGACTGTAGTTTCTCTTTGCTTATTTGAGCTGTTCTTGACATAATATGGACTTGGTCTTTTACCAAATAGGGCTATCTTCTGTATACCAACCCTACCTTGTCACAACACAACTGATTGGCTCAAACGCATTAAGAAGGAAAGAAATTCCACAAATTAACTTCTAAGAAGGCACACCTGTTAATTGAAATGTATTCCAGGTGACTACCTCATGAAGCTGTCTGAGAAAATGCCAAGAGTGTGCAAAGCTGTCATCAAGGCACTTTGAAGAATCTCAAATATAAAATATATTTGGATTTGCTTAACACTTTTTTGGTTACTACATGATTATGTGTTATTTCATAGTTTTGATGTCTTCACTATTATTCTACAATGTAGAAAATAGTACAAAATAAAGAAAAACCCTTGAATGAGTAGGTGTGTCCAAACTTTTGACTTGTACTGTACTTCCCCAGATGGCCTGACCTCACTCAGACTGTTTCCTGTTTTCTGAAGATTGTTCCCACGCTAGACCCTCCTGCTGACTTCCCCACTTCTCCTTTCCACGGAACACAGTTCAGTTCAGGTGTCTTTTGTTTGTTTACTGAGGTCAGGACACCTTCTTCACTCTTCCATATTCTGAAGGATGTTGTAACATCTGTGCAATCACTTTCCTCACTTCAGCTTTCCACGGAAGACATTCCACCACTCTACAGTTCAGCTTTCCACGGAAGACATTCCTCCACTCTACAGTTCAGCTTTCCACGGAAGACATTCCTACACTCTACAGTTCAGCTTTCCACAGAAGACATTCCTACACTCTACAGTTCAGCTTTCCACGGAAGACATTCCTACACTCTACAGTTCAGCTTTCCACGGAAGACATTCCTCCACTCTACAGTTCAGCTGGAAGACATTCCATCACTCTACAGTTCAGCTGGAAGACATTCCTCCACTCTACAGTTCAGCTGGAAGACATTCCATCACTCTACAGTTCAGCTGGAAGACATTCCACCACTCTACAGTTCAGCTTTCCACGGAAGACATTCCACCACTCTACAGTTCAGCTGGAAGACATTCCACCACTCTACAGTTCAGCTTTCCACGGAAGACATTCCTCCACTCTACAGTTCAGCTTTCCACGGAAGACATTCCTCCACTCTACAGTTCAGCTGGAAGACATTCCTACACTCTACAGTTCAGCTGGAAGACATTCCACCACTCTACAGTTCAGCTTTCCACGGAAGACATTCCTCCACTCTACAGTTCAGCTTTCCACGGAAGACATTCCTCCACTCTACAGTTCAGCTTTCCACGGAAGACATTCCACCACTCTACAGTTCAGCTTTCCACGGAAGACATTCCTACACTCTACAGTTCAGCTTTCCACGGAAGACATTCCTCCACTATACAGTTCAGCTTTCCACGGAAGACATTCCTCCACTCTACAGTTCAGCTTTCCACGGAAGACATTCCTACACTCTACAGTTCAGCTTTCCACGGAAGACATTCCACCACTCTACAGTTCAGCTTTCCACGGAAGACATTCCTACACTCTACAGTTCAGCTTTCCACGGAAGACATTCCTCCACTATACAGTTCAGCTTTCCACGGAAGACATTCCACCACTCTACAGTTCAGCTTTCCACGGAAGACATTCCACCACTCTACAGTTCAGCTTTCCACGGAAGACATTCCTACACTCTACAGTTCAGCTTTCCACGGAAGACATTCCTACACTCTACAGTTCAGCTTTCCACGGAAGACATTCCTCCACTCTACAGTTCAGCTGGAAGACATTCCACCACTCTACAGTTCAGCTTTCCACGGAAGACATTCCTCCACTCTACAGTTCAGCTGGAAGACATTCCACCACTCTACAGTTCAGCTGGAAGACATTCCTCCACTCTACAGTTCAGCTGGAAGACATTCCACCACTCTACAGTTCAGCTGGAAGACATTCCACCACTCTACAGTTCAGCTGGAAGACATTCCTCCACTCTACAGTTCAGCTGGAAGACATTCCACCACTCTACAGTTCAGCTTTCCACGGAAGACATTCCTCCACTCTACAGTTCAGCTGGAAGACATTCCTCCACTCTACAGTTCAGCTGGAAGACATTCCTCCACTCTACAGTTCAGCTGTCTTTTGCTTACATCCAGCAAAACACCAGTAACTAGGACTATACAGTAATCAAATACACATCCTGTGTGTTACTGCTGTACATAAAGTACATGCACAGCATTATCTATACAGTACATGCACAGCATTATCCAAACATAAAGTACATGCACAGCATTATCTATACAGTGCATGCACAGCATTATCCAAACATAAAGTACATGCACAACATTATCTATACATACAGTACATGCACAGCATTATCCAAACATAAAGTACATGCACAGCATTATCCAAACATAAAGTACATGCGCAACATTATCTATACAGTACATTACATGCACAGCATTATCTATACAGTGCATGCACAGCATTATCCAAACATAAAGTGCATGCACAGCATTATCCAAACATAAAGTACATGCACAACATTATCTATACAGTACATTACATGCACAGCATTATCTATACAGTACATGCACAGCATTATCTATACATACAGCACATGCACAGCATTATTCAAACATAAAGTACATGCACAACATTATCTATACAGTACATTACATGCACAGCATTATCTATACATACAGCACATGCACAGCATTATTTATTAATGGAAATTGTAATGACAGGACCCTTGACATGCACCATTTCGTTTTCGAGGGGTCCTGTATAGGTTTATTATGCTAAAGTCATAGTTGTGAGGTAATGATTGTGACACTATGAGGTTAATTAGGCTGCTGTAATCATGTAAGGTACAGAGTCTAATGTCACGACTTCGGCCGAGGCTGCCTCCCCTCCTTGTTCGGGCAGGCTTCGGCGTTGGTCGTCACCGGCTTACTGACCACTGCCGCCCCAATCATCATCACAATTGTCTTGTGTTGTCAATCACACACACCTGGTTCTAATCCCCTCATTAGTCCGTGTATAAGTGTTCCCTCTGCCCCCCTTGTCCTTGTGGGTGATTGTTATTTGTGAGAGTAGTGGAGCTCGGTGGAGCTACTCGTAACATATTGTTGCCAGGGTAGATTTTCCCACTGTGCCTATGTGTTATTGGATATCCGTTACAGTGTATTTGCCAGGGATGGTAGTTTCCCCTGGGCCTGTTTCGTTGATCGCTATTTGAGCGCATTTGTGTGTCTACGAAGGAATAAACTCTGTATTCGGTGATTACCCTCCTACGCCTGACTCCGATTATTACACTCATCACAGTCTAAGGTTCAAATGTCAACCACTATTAGCAGAACCGACTGCAAAACTGACTGTTAACAGGAAAACCACAAAAGAGATAGCGGCAGACTGTAAATGGCACAACAACGTCTAATCTCTACACAACTTACTCAACATCCATATACACTACCATTATACAGTGGGGAAAAAAGTTTTTAGTCAGCCACCAATTGTGCAAGTTCTCCCACTTAAAAAGATGAGAGAGGCCTGTAATTTTCATCATAGGTACACGTCAACTATGACAGACAAAATGAGAAAAAAAAATCCAGAAAATCACATTGTAGGATTTTTAATGAATTTATTTGCAAATTATGGTGGAAAATAAGTATTTGGTCAATAACAAAAGTTTCTCAATACTTTGTTATATACCCTTTGTTGGCAATGACACAGGTCAAACGTTTTCTGTAAGTCTTCAGACACTGTTGCTGGTATTTTGGCCCATTCCTCCATGCAGATCTCTTCTAGAGCAGTGATGT